AAGGGGAACTCAGACTACATATCAAAATTCCTAAAAATGTGCAAACTCTAGGACTCAATAATAGCACAGGTAGGAGTTTTAAGAAACTGGGGTTAATTTTAAGAAAAAAATGGATGCATGTATTTTTAGATGTATTTATAAACATTTTCCACATAGGATTTTTTAAGAGTATAAAAATAAAAACAACCTAAGTTTTTATCAGTACGTAAGTAGTGAAATAATATATGGTGATTATAAATGGTGTATTTATTTCATAAAATGAAATACTATACATCAATATTAAATGATGATCTTAAAGATTATTTATATAAACACAAGATACTCAGGCAGTCTATCAAATGAAAAGGCTCATTACAAAACATATATGGTGTGGACCACATGTACTCATAGTTATTTCCATAGAAAAAACATGGAAGAACATTTACCAAAATGTTAATAAAATTTATATATTGATATTTTCTTCATTTTCCATTTGCTTATCTGGAAATCCCACAATTCCTGTTGCAAACATGTATTGATAACAAGAACATAATTTGTTTTGTTTCTAAAAAAGTAAAAACAACATTGATAAGTTTCATTGGCACCTACTAGGGAATGAATATTCAGCAAGTGGACAGTAGGGGGTTTCCAGGAGGGCTATGGCAAGGTTGTTTTAAAGACCTTTGTATTTCTTTTCAAACTACCACCAGCTTCCCCTTCTTTCCTTCCTTTCCGGCCGGGGAGTTCTGCAGAATCTAGTTTGCTTCCAAGCTGGGATGTTTGCACAAGGCTGAGTGACCCGTAGGTGAGAGAGGATGTTGCTGGGGCAAGATACCAAAATAAACACAAGGCAAAAGGGACGTGGGGTGCTGAATGCCAGAGTTTCTGATACTGAGTGCATTTACAGTGCTATGAAAGCTCGAAAACGTGGAAAGCTAACTCATGGACTGACATATTGATGAAACAAATCAGATACAGATGATTCATGCATAATCAGAATTCTCTGGTTTTATTTATAAAATTTATCAGGCTACTGGCATTAGAAGCCTGTTTACAGTGTGCTAGGGCCCCTTCTCATGCTCTCTGCACGTGTGGGAGAGAAGTAACAGGGGCCAAGCTCACCTGCTAATTCATGTTCTTGGCACATTCTCTGGCCCCCAAGGTGCTGTGATTATGCTTAGATGTGGTGGTAGCTCATAATACTATAATCCCTCCCCTGACCACTTCCTCCACCCCAGGCTGGGCAGAAGCAGCAAAAGGGGCCCATCTGTGTTCATAACCAACCAATCAGAATTGACTCAGGGGGACAGCCAATTTGGTTTAGTCCCTTGAGGGATAAAGAGGAAAGAGCACATCTCTATACCTGGGGTATTTTTGGAATTTGTTTTTCTCCCAAATTGTGTTTGTAGGCAAGGGGAAAGCAGAGAAAATAGGGAAATATATGGTTTGACTAGAACCCAAGAATCCAGAGTTCTTGGGTGACAGGCACTGGAGCAAAGATGCTTCTGTTAAAAAGGTTTAGACCCTACATCTCACCCCCAAACATGCATACACATATCATGTATCTGTTTACACTTATTAAGGGCCTGAGAGAAGTCCCCAGGGAGAACTAAAGAAAAAAAAGGTCAGGAACCCTATGAACGCATAGAGACCTACATGGTAAATTACAGGGAGGGGAATAGGAAAGTGGGGATGGCCAGTTCTAGCAGAATCCAGGAGGGGAGCTGGCCCATGGCAACCCTGGGAGAGAAGATACCGTAAGAAAAAGGGAGATTTATACTTTGTCCCATAGGTAGCACAATTGTCTGAGCAAAGGGCTGGATTGGGGATCTAGATATGACATGCGGCCAGGCAGGTGCTGGAACTTATCCAATGCCAGCTTCCCTGGCTACCTGAGTGACTCTGCGGTACCTGGCTCTGTGTAGGTGAATAAAATGTATGACAATACTGGGCACTTGGGCAACTTCTCAGTGGGACCCAACTTGTATGAGAATAAAAAATGAGGAACCTTTGTCCTTTGCACTTGGAGAGGGAGGATCATTCTCTCACAGCACCATGGGAATTGAAATGATAGCAATGAATTTCCTTAATAATGTGTCCCAAGATGCCATGGCAGGTGGCGAATGGAGGTGAATAAGAACTGAGACCAGAGACAGAGCAGCAGTAGCCTCTCCTGCAGAATCCTGTTCAGAGGGACAAACCCCAGCTCCTGGCACAGAGATGTGAGCATCAAACATAGGGAAGCAGGCCTGGGGACTCTTAAAATATCTGGGAGGGGGGCGCCTGGGTGACTCAGTTGGGTAAGCATCCGACTTCAGCTCAGGTCATGATCTCACAGTCCATGAGTTCGAGCCCCGCATCAGGCTCTGTGCTGATGGCTCAGGGCCTGGAGCCTGCTTCGGATTCTGTGTCTCCCTTTCTCTCTCTGCCCCTCCCCTGCTCATGCTCTGTCTCTCTCTGTCTCAAAAATAAATAAAACCTTAAAAAATTAAAAAAACATATCTGGGAGGGAGAAATCTGTAAACAATTGCAAGACAAGTAGGTGGTTAGGAGAATCAAGAACACCTTATTTAATGTTATGAATACATTCTGTCATTTAAACCCAGGTTGGTGAAGCAAGACACATGCCAGTCACACTACAGAGATCAATGATCCCAACCTGTCTCCCCAAGGGATGTTGCAATTTGCATCATCAAATATATGTTCCCCAGGTCGAAAACTACCTCCAGCCCATGTCCTTAATATTTCCTTCAGATTATAATTGTAAAAACGTTGTAATGGGGAGTAAGCATGAAAAACAGTGGGGAAATGAGAGAAGTTTGTGTGCGAATTATGCTAGATTAAAGATGGCAATAAACCTTTGTCTCTTTTCCCACCAAGTGATGAGATCTGTTGAACCACTCCTTGACTTCACTGACCAAAACTGGACAGCCAAACTAATGTTATGTCAGTTCTGGAGCTAGCCTTGAAGAAAAGGCTAAAACTGCTTTCTAAATCTTCCGAAGGTGAGTGGGCATGTATAAAACTCAACTACCCTCCTGGAGAAATCTCCTAGAGGGCCCCGAAGCTACAGAGAGGCAGAGGTGAGCTAAGCTTTCAAGACACCCTCACCAAAACCCTTGCTGTGTGACTGAAGTCTCTTGACCCTTCCCGACCAGACCAGCTGAATATCACTGGAGCAGCCCTGTCATGACCATGTGAAACAAAAGAATAGCCCAGCAGAATTTTGACTGAATTCTTGACCCATGAAATTGTGAGCTGTAATATGAAGGGTTGTTGTCTTAAAGCCTACTAAGTCTGGGGAATTGTTACATAGCAATAATAACTAGCAAAGTAGTATAGGCTTCACATTCCACCTAGTCTACCCAAGTCTACCGAAGACCCTCCTCTTGTTCCCTGGGTTTTTCCTATGTGAATGCTCATTGTGTAGATTCTCCTGAAAGATAGAAGCTCCATTTCTTGGAGAATGCTATAGGGATGTCACCAGGAAGCCCAGGAACGGCTCCTTCAGTGGTAGACAAGGAAGGCCCTTAGTGGGGCTGCTTTACTGCCTTTCTCTTCTTAGAATGTTCCCTGAGATCTACTCAGTCTGCACTCACCATCTTCATATAGGAAGGTCCAACCTTGGTTTCTCAATGAGCAGCCCCTCATTTCGTAGCCTGTCTTAGTCAATTAGAAGAGATGAATCTATCTGATGAGACTGAACAGGTGAATCCCAAAAGCCTCAAGTGTCTGGATTGTTTTTGATGCCTATTATATCACTTTTTGCTCTGCTGAAAATAGCTAATATCTATGTAGGTCACTTTCTTACTCGTAAATTGGAAATAATAACATCTACCTTCCCAGTATCTCAGGATTATTGTGAGATTCAAATAAGATGATGTGGGTGGAAGCTCTTTGTAAACTTGAAAATGTTGTGCGCTTGCAATTTGTTATCGTCATTATCATTACTATTCAGGAATTAGTAAATTATAGATAGTGTTGGGACATGTGGGCTTAGCATTGTGTGATCTTAAGCAATCCAGTTAACATCTCAGCAATTTTCTCATCCCTAAAATGAGTGTTTACTAAATAATATCTAAGGATCTTTCCAGCTCTCAAATACTATGGCGGTGATTTTTAAGAGTCCTTGTTCGGCACAGGCAAAGTTATGCAGGGTATTCAAAGACAAAGGTGAGCCTTTCCTCACTGACTAAAAATCTGTAATGTAGTTGTTAAGATCAATCAGGCTTAAAAAACAAATAATAATTCAAATGAACCTTTTTTGCTTATTTATTTAGAGAGAGAGAAAGAGAGAGAGAGAGAGAGAGAGAGAGAGAGAGTGTGTGTATGTGTGTGTGTGTGTGAGCGAGCATGGGGGAGGTCCAGAGAGAGAGGGAGAAAGAAAGAATCCCAAGCAGGCCCCACACTGTCAGTATGGAGCCAGATGCAGGGCTCAAACTTAGCAGGAACTCAGAGCAGGAACCCTGAGATCATGACCTGAGCCGAAATCAAGAGTTGGACACTCAACCCACTGAGCCGCCCAGGTGCCCTTCAAGTGAACCTTTTATTTATTTATTTATTTTCAACGTTTATTTATTTTTGGGACAGAGAGAGACAGAGCATGAACGGGGGAGGGGCAGAGAGAGAGGGAGACACAGAATCGGAAACAGGCTCCAGGCTCTGAGCCATCAGCCCAGAGCCCGACGCGGGGCTCGAACTCACGGAGCGCGAGATCGTGACCTGGCTGAAGTCGGACGCTTAACCGACTGCGCCACCCAGGCGCCCCTCAAGTGAACCTTTTAAATAAAGATTCCCCAGAATGTGAAAGTCCTTGATGGGAAATTTGCCAGCTACTAGAGCATAATGTGACAATATTTGCTATTTACCCATCCAGACGCACTCTCTGCTCTGGCAGGCTGACTTGTATGGACCACATCAATGTACTCCCTTGCTTCATGGCATCTGATTGGGTTCTGCTAGTCTAGTGGCCCACCAAGAGATGGAAGGAGAGAAAAGAAAGAAGTCAAGGTATTTATTACCTCTGCTTCCTCTCTCTGGGGTCATCTGGAGATGTCTGTTCCATTGACCCAAGGGCACAGTGTCTCTCAAGTCTGCCCTCTCCACACGACACTATCCTTCCAAGTTATGTAGACTGCTCTCTGCCCTTGCCTCTTTGCCCTGGGGATGAAAACAGTTCATCTGTAACTAACCCTGGAAGACTTCACAATCCATTCATTGGGGTAGGCAGCCTCCAAGATGGTTCCCAGGGATTCTGTTTCCCAGTAATCACACCCTTGTATAATCCCCTCTTCTTAAATGTGGGCTGGATTTATTGACTCACTTCTACCAGAATACACAGGAGAGCTAAGATGACACTTTTGAGATGAAGTTATGAAAAGGCTATGAATTCTATCTTGGCCATTCTCACTTGAATCACATACCTGGGGGAAGCCAACCATTATGCCCCAGAACAGCCTTATGCCGTCACGACATGGAAGCAAGGCCTGTCCACAACTATGTGAGTTTGAAAGGAACCTGTTTGTCCCCAGTCAAGTTTTCAGATGAGACCACAGTACTAGCTAATAGCTTGACTATAATCTCACAAGAGACCTTGAGCCGCAGATAACTACCTCAGCTGTGCCTGAGTTCCTGACCACAGAAACTGTGAGGTAATAAATACTTGTTTTGAGCTTCTAGCTTGGGAGGCAATTTGTTATGCAGCAATAAATAACTAATGCACCTTGTAATTTCCCAACATACCGGCTATATCTTTGTAAACAGTCCTTTAATTGTCTTCTTCAAATTATCCTGATTTGACTATGCCAGATGTTTCCTGCTGGGGTCATAAATAGAAATAATATTTCCAGGCAAATAAATAAATTACATACTCTTTTCAGGTTTATTTCCCCTAAGACATGAAAAGAATAGATCATGTTTGAATATAGAAATTTCCCTGAGTCTTTGAGGCTTCTAGATCCCTTGAGAGAATTTGGATTTCTTTTCTAAGGGTGGTAGGTGGGGAAATTTGTGTTTTTAAGGATTTCAAAGAAAAGTAGCTCCTTAGCATTAAGATGAGCAAAGGAGATTACAACTTCTTTTCCATCCAGTCTAACAGACTTTGGACTAAATGGCTAGTGAGTGGGTGGGTTCTTCAAGGACTGGGCACTTGGTATCCCAGACTTGGCTTCCTAAATAAGAGGAATGAGAATGTTCTTAATGGAAACCCATCCTCCTGCGTGGGACCTCACAAGCCTTGGCAGTCAGCCGAGAGACAATGAAAAGTCAGAGGGACAGTGGCATTATATGGTGGTGACAGTGATAACAAACAGGGATCTTTAATTCTTGGGTTTGGAAGTCAGACTGCCAAACCCCTCCCCTCATCTCCTGAACCCTCTACAATGACACCGTGGACTACATAAGGTTTCGAGTTTTGTTTTCTTGACAGTCCAGGGAAGGCAGAAGTGAAGATCAAGTCAATTCTTAGTTAAGGACACTTTCACAAAAAGTAACATTACTCGCACTTTGAAAACTGGGAAATAATTACTAACCTATTATAAAGAAAATAAATGTGATTACTGTAGAAAGTTAAATAGCAGAAGAAACTTCCCAGGTGCCTCTACCTAGGGAGGCTAAGCCTGAAATGTTATGGAAACGCCAGCAGCATGACTCTTAGCAAACCTCACAGGGCAATCACATCCATTACATCAGCAGATTTCTGTGTGTGGTCCAAGGCTAGGCTTTGAGTCAACTGCTCATCAAGGCGCTTAGTACATACTTGACAAATAAATGAATAAACAGAGGGAGGAATATATCTCCCAGGGCTGGACTGATATGTAAAACCACAGGGTCAGAGTATTCATTTAACATATACATATATATTTATGTATATACACATATATACCTATTACAGAAGTAGGAACCCAAAGTTGTGAAAAGATTATTCTCTTCTGCAGATATTTTATATATGCCAAGATTGATAATTGTCCAGTGGCTTGGGGAGTACAAGAGTAGAAAAATACTGTTCAAATGAGCCAACTGTTTAGTGATCTCAGTTGAGAGAGCTCAGCACTTCTTTCTTTCTTTCTACAACGCTGGCCTTGACAATGGAATCAGAATATAGTAAATCCTGCCTCTTTCTGGGTAATGCTTGACTGGTCACTGCTCACATGTTCTCCACGCTTCTCCCTTTTCTACACTTCCATGGCTCACTTCTCCCCTCTATGATTCTTTCTTTCTTTAGAGATATTCACATCCGCATTCCATTATCCGCAATTCTGAAATACCAAAATCTCTGAAAAACAAAAGTTGTAGGAAGTTTAGGGAGAATATGACCTGAAATAACATGAAGCTATTTATAATCTTCATTTATGTTCCTAGTGTGAGACTCATACTTCCATTGCACAAATATTGAAAATGTTCATGGTGCATTATGCTAAGGATATTATATAACATGTGGTATCTGTCTTGTATCACAAAAAACAATCTGAATTCTGAAGCAAATCCTGCCCCTAGGGTTTCAGATTTATTATAGCCTAATCTTCCAAGCTTGGGAAATATTTTGTTTCCTTAAGGTGACTTTGCACTTAGCTGCTTTGATCCTTTATGTGTTGGTTTTGAGGTCTAACTCCCAGAGAATCATTTTTCTTCCCTTGTTTATCAGTTTCAGGGAACCCTTTGCTGTAAATTGACAATCATGGGCCTGTAATAGATCCGTGCGGAAGGAGAGATGGGGTGCTAGTAAGGAGGAGAACGAGGGGAAAGAACATCCTGAGGACTAGCTGAGATTTCAAAGATGAAGTCTGTTCTTGGATAAAGGGACACCACGGTTCCAGGCAGAGATAATCACCCAGAGGCATGGAGAAGCACAGGATGCCTGGAGAACTGGGGGCAGCTGACTTGTTGTTGGGGCTGGGAGGAGATGACAAGTGACTGTGTGACACCTGCCTTGGGAGGGTGGAGGAAAGTAATTCAAGGGTTTCTCGCAGCAGAGAGTCCTAATCCAGAAAGCCAAGCAGTCAGCAGCATGACGAGAATAGATTAGAGGAGGTTGTGGAAGGAGCAGTGGCCAGGAAAGACTCTTGTACAGATCTAGGAGACAGTCTCAGAACTAAGGCCGTGGGGGTACAGAATGGAAAAAAAGAGAAAGTTTAGAACATGGAATCAAAGGCTGTAATGTTCCATATCATGGTGGTCATGGTGGCGGGGGGGGTGGGGGGTGGGAATTAAATCAAAATAGTTGGCTGATGCTGGTGGAGCAAAGTTCACTAAGAAGAAAGTCAAGTTTGGACAGTCTTAACAGCTGATTGCTCCTTACTTTGAAATGAGAAAAACTGGATTTTATCAGAGTGGCGAGAACCAACACACTCTGATGGGCAGTGCATGGAATTTGAGGTTGGTTGACCTGGGTTCTCATCATAACCTGGAGCAAAATATTCTCTAAACCTTAGTTTCTTTACCTGAGATGCAGGGACAGTGTCATCATCGTGACAGAATTTGTGGGAGAGTGCATACAGTAAGTAAATGAGGTTATGCACGTAAAAATTTCTGCCATGTACAAAGTGTACAAATGACTACTAATTACCTCTGAATGAGGAAAGTTGGAGCAGAGAGGTTGAGGGTCTCCCCAAGGTTGCAGAGCAGTGACACTAGGATTCCGATGAAACATCTCTGTTCCCTCCCCAGTACTTCTGGAAAGAAGGCATTGTGGGCTTGACCCAATATTATATAGAAGACAGAGAGAATATGCACTGCCTTATCCCCACTCTTCTGTTTTCTCTTAACATTATTTACCATTAGTAGTTCATTTCTTTGTCTTATGTAAGCTTTTGTCAACATGAGTCTTAAGTATAGACTTGACCACCAAGCTTTAAATGTCAAAGAAATTTGGCAGAGGGACATACAATTAAAAGTCTGCTTGATGGGATAAACAGATGCATTTTATTCAGGGTGTTTTTTGTCTCATTTTCCTTAGGTAGTTAACTTGCTACAGACACTGAGAGGCAATTACTTGATTCAATAAATGGTTCCCACTCCAAGTTGTGGATGGCTATGCATATAATTTATTTATTTTGGAGTTGGCCAGAAAATCCTAGCTTATGTCTCTAATTGGTTTCAGCTGTTTTGCATGCCCTGTCAAGCTCATGGTACGTCGAGCGCATTTTTTTTGTCAGTGTCAGGGCTCAAAAAATGGCTGACCCCAAGTCACTGCTGATGGCCTCACCCTGTCATTGACCAGCTGGATCTAAAAGGCCGTTGCGTATTTGGCAAGCTGGTGTTCACTCTTTCACGCCTACAGAAAAGGCAATCTCATGATGTGAATGTTGGGCAAGCAGGGGTTACAATTCTGCTCTGACTACTTATTGTATTATCTTATCGATCTCTTAAAGATTGCTGACTTAACCTTCTACAGTGTTAAAGATCTCACTTTGGAAATGTATAAAGAGGTCGGCAAGCTGGCACATAGTAGGTGCTCAGTGAATTTGATGTTTCTTGCCTCAGACAGACGGAATGTAAGTGTTTCGGTTGTAAGGGCCCTAGAACTTTTACTCCGATCCAATCCTCTTTCCCATCCCCCTCTGGGATCTTCTTCACATCCTCCTTCATTCTCGAGAACTAAGAGTAGACTATTGTTCCTTCTCTGTAGGAGCAGAGCATAGCCTACATATGGCTCCCAATAGCCCTCTATGTCTAATAATGAACTGGAGCCAGGACATTCTTAAGAACGAGTTCTGAAACCCCATATAATCCTCCTTGGATCATATTTTCATACAAGTCATTCGTTTGGCTAAAGTTATACTGAGACCACTTAGACAAAACATCTACTGATTGATTGATTTTGTTTCATTTGAAACCTAAAACAGGTTTTAGGTTTGGTTCATATACTTTGGTTCATATACATTTGGTTCATATACTTGTTTTATACTTTTTGTGTAAACACAAAGTAGCAGGGTTACTAGGCTGTGAGTTCCTTGTGTTAGGAACTCTCCTACCTAGCTTTGCACATACTATCTTAGCACAGGACTTAGCATGAGTAGGTATGTAGGGAACATCTCTGATTTGTCTTATCTGACACTTTCCCTGTCCTCTGGCCGCATGGATGCAAGTGTGAGCTCCACTCCACTCATCAGGAGTTACTGAACACATGTTTGTCTTTAACAGTTCTTGGATTTTTATTTTAAATGGCTCTGATCCATTCAGTAACTTCCTCGTCTGACTCAGCAATTCTCAAATGACACACAAAATACTCCCTAAAACACATTACAAGCTTATCTCTGAACAAAACTTAGGAGAAGCAAAGTACTTAAAAACCAAATAAACAAAAGGCACGCAATTTAAAGTGTTTGCTCAGCTTGCGAATATATTGGAGATTGCTTATTGGTGGGAAATGACCCAAGAAAAGAAGGCCAACTAATTCCATCCTATCTTTTCTTCCATCTCCTTCCACACAGTTTTGGTATGCACGTGTAAAAGTAATTAATGCTAACATTTATTAGCTATGACTACTTAAGACGCTAGGAACGACTACTATGAACCAAGCCCAACCTCAGTATTTTCAAGTTCAACTCATTTGTTCCCATAATAATCTCATGAAGTAGGTGCTATTATTGTGTCCATCTTACTGGTGAGGAAGTTGGAGCCCAGAAAAGTTAAACAACCTGCCCAGGGTCACAACTAGTGTGTTGTATAGGCAGAGTTTAAACAGAAGTAGTCAGATTTTAACTCTAAGCAGAAGGAAGAGTCCATATTCAATATCTTAGCCAAAGAATACAGGAAGATAACACCCCCTAGAAAGACACACTTTGCCATGGACTCTCAATAGGAAGTACAGCCAGGGGCGCCTGGGAGGCTCAGTCCGTCAAACGTCTGACTCTTGGTTTGAAGGCTCAGGTCTTGACCTCATGGTTTGTGAGTTTGAGCCCTGCGTCGGGCTCTGCACTGAGCCGGACCCTGCTTGCAATTCTCTCTGTCTCCCTCGCTGTCCCTCCCTCCCTCCCTCTCTCTCTCTGAAAATAAGTAAACTTAAAATAAAAGAAGTACAGTCATACATTTCAATGTCAAATGGTAATTCTCTTCAAATTAATGAGAGTGACCATACTTCATAGGCAACACAAAGCTGTAGGTAAGAAAAATATTGAAAATCTCTATTATCATTATAAAATATTATGTAAGTATTTAATGTGTGCCTTAATACTTATTTGAATGATATACTTATTAATTATATTTGCACATGTATATGAGTACCATGTGTGTGTGCCATGCATGTACCTATACTTACAGGGGTATATATTGATAAGTACATAGATACATATGGATGTATAGGACATGCCTCAGACAAATATATATTCATCATATATTTATTTCACATGTATGGGTAATATGACTCAACCTAATTTAAAATTTTTAATGTTTATTTTTGAGAGAGAGAGAGAGACAGAGTGTGAGCAAGAGAGGGACAGAGAGAGAGGGAGACGCAGAATCCGAAGCAGGCTCCAGGCTCTGAGCTGTCAGCACAGAGCCCGACGTGGAGCTCAAACACACGGACCACGAGATCATGACCTGAGCCGAAGTCAGACACTTAACCGACTGAGCCACCCAGGCGCCCCAAACTCAACCTAATTTAAATATGCCATTTGGGGCGCCTGGGTGGCTCAGTCGGTTAAGCGGCCGACTTCGGCTCAGGTCATGATTTCGTGGTCCGTGAGTTCGAGCCCCGCGTCGGCTCTGTGCTGACCGCTCAGAGCCTGGAGCCTGTTTCCGATTTTGTGTCTCCCTCTCTCTGACCCTCCCACATTCATGCTCTGTCTCTCTCTGTCTCAAAAATATATAAACGTTAAAAAAAAGAAAATTAAAAAAAAAAAAAAAACAAGTTCCTTACAGGTGTGGCCTAATATTTTCTTGTTTCAGGCCCCTCTCGGTTCCTATCCTTCAGCATCTCTAGAACAATTACCACTCACAAATGATATTTGGGGAAGCAGACATCTTGTAAAACAACCCTGACTGATGAGACCGGCAGCTAGCACACAAAAGCTTTCCCCTTGCTTATCCAGACCAATGATTCTGCGATATGTTTTATAGGTTTTCCCAAGGACTCATGCTATGAAGTGACCGGTCGTCCATTGGGTGGCCAACTTCTGGTGCAGGCTTGTGTGAGATTTCCCTCCTTCCCCCCATCCCTTCCTCATCCCTTGCAATCAAATTCTCAGATAAAACTACTCATCCATCATAAACCTTCACCTCAGATTCTGCTTTGGGGAAGACCATGCTAAGACAGGCATTATTTAACATATATTTTCTCAGTCCAATTATTTGTGTTATTGCTAAAGTACAGTAAAAATTAGAACTTCAACAAGTAATGTTGTAAGTTTCATTGCCTGTCGAGGGTCGCCGTTTCAGTTTATAGCTTTTAAAAATAAGAACTTTCCGTAGTAAAATGTTTATAGCCTGGGAAACATTTATTGCTGGCCAGCAATGGTCTGGTGATCAGAGCCAGTGAAATAGTGATTTGTGTCACATGCTTCTGGAAAACAAATTGAAGTCATTCTCTAAGCCAGATCCCAGTTTCAAGAAAAATTATATGGTATCATATACAAGTCCTGGTGGGGACATTATGACTTTCAAAGGCCATGCATTTTATTAAATGTATAACATGCCTATGTGAACTATTAATAGGAGTGCTATTGACACATTCCAAATGTTGAGAAAAAAAAGAAGAGGAAGACGATGGAAGCCTGTGGAGTGATATATTGTGGTTCCACTATCAAGTGGCAGTTTCTTTTGCTGAATCAAGTTCAAAATCAGAACACTTCTCTGCCTAGCAAGCAAACTAAGCCATTTCCAAGTGGCTATTAATAACTTGAGCAGTGGAGGAGGAGAAAAACAGGTCAAAATGTCATCTTGAGGCATCGTGGTTATCAATTGTTTAGGATCCTCTAGGGCAGAGTTTGTCACCCCCAACAATATTGATATTCTTGGCTGGATAATTTTTTGTTGTGAGGAGCCGTCCTGTGCACTGTATAGGATGCTTGCAGCATCTCTGGCCTTGGCTTACTAGATGCCAGTAGTGTCACCCACACCCAAGTTGTGACAACCAAAAATGTTTATGGACATTGTCCCCTGTGGGACAAAATCATCCCCAGCTGAGAACCATCAGCTTAGGGCAATGCAGATGCTGATTGGCTGGTGTGATGGGATGCCTTACAACCCAGAACAGAGCACTCAAAATCTTTGAAGAAGTTCTTCTGAGACAGTTTTGGACAATGAAATGATCAAACCAAAGTTTACTAATACCCAGCATTGTGGAGTAGGCAAAGATGAGTAGCCTAAAACAATGATTCCCCAACTTTGGCAGTGACTGAGTCACCTGGAGAGCGTATTAAAAGAGATTCCTGGACCCCACCCCCAGGGAACATAATTCAGTAAGTCTGATATCTTGATGAACTTGATTCAGTGAGTCTAATAATTTGTGTTTCTCACATGTCCCAAGCAATGTTGCACGTCTGTAAACTACCCTTTAAATAGCCTTAGGCTAAAAGTTAGAAGATCTTGACTTTGAGCAATTCACTTATACCATGGAATATCCCATTTCCAGTAGAATAGGATAGATATGCAGACATAGAAGCAGTAAAGGGAAGAGGGAACAGGATAATAATGTATAAAGAAGACACTGGGGCAACTAGGGAGGTCAAGACATATTCGTGTTGAAAGCGATGCCATGTAGAGTCTCCCACTAGATGTGAACTTGTGAACTTCATGTCTTATTCATCTCTAATATGGTAGCAGACACATAGTAGGTGCTTACTTCAGATATTTCAATTATGGTGCTTGCACCCAAGAACACTCTTCAGCTAAAACAGCTCACCTGTACCATCCTGCTGAATGCACAGTCCGTTCTGAACATGAGATCTCCACATCTTACATTGCTGAGCAGACTAAAAGTAGTGCATATGACCAAGAGCAGTGAACTCATTGGGTGGTCAGCATATTGAGGAGGCAGGAGCTGGGCCAATCGGGTTATCTCCTTTAGGAGTATGAACTTTAAAAAAAAAATGAACCCAGTAAATGCCATCAGTGTGGGAGCTAAATCTAATGTTCCTAAAAAACTGCGAGTCCAGACAACATGTAAGAAAAAGATACAAGGAGGCAGAACAATGAGTGATCCGCTTATATACATATATATTCACATGGAAATGGAGATAGGCTAGGCGGTTGTCAATAGATTCTCCATATCTTTACTTGGGAAACTCTTTTTTTGTTTTTCCCATCATGACTCAAACATGCCCCAGGGAAGCAGTCTCCCACTCAGTCTAAGTTGCTCAACCCCCACAAGCCATTCTCCATCATAGTCTTCCTTTTTAATTTCTTCTGAGACTTAATCACTGCTGTGGTGGTTAATGTTTTGTGTCAACTTGACTGGGCTAAGGGATGCTCAGATAGCTTGTAAAACATTACTTTGGGGTGTGTCTATAATAGTGTTTCCAGAAGAGGTTAACATTTGAGTTGGTATGCTGAGTAAAGAAGCTCGCCCTCACCAGTGTGAGTGGACATCATCCAACTCACTAAGGGCCTGAATACAAGAAAAGGGCGTACTCATGGATAAACCCCTGAGGGTGGGTAATGGGTTTATAGGTGTTCATATATATACTAAATCCATTTCTATTAACTGAGTCCCCACTTATGTGCACCATATGGGTAGGAAAATGACCCAAACTATTCCAATCACAGTCCCCAATTCCTCTGTTGCATCATTACTTGGACCAAGGGATGATCACGTGTGATGATTAGTTTTATGTGTCAACTTGACTAGCCTATGGTACTCAGTTATTAAATTGTATGTTAAATCTATATGTAGCTATAAAGGTATTTTGTAGACATGATGGATATCTAAAATCAGCTGACTTTAAGTAAAGGAGATTATAGTGTAGGTGGGCCTCATTGAATCAGTCAAATCAGCCGTTAGAGCAAAACCCGGGGTTTTCCAAAGAAGAAATCCTCTCCCAAGACTGCAATATTAACTCTTGCTTAAATTTCCAGTCTGCCAGCCTGCCCTACAAATCTTAGACTCGTCAGTACCCACAGTTGGGTGAGCCAATTCCTTAAAATAAAACTCTGGAGATACATGCACACACACACACACACACACACACATGTATATGCATCCTGCTTGTTCTGTCTCTCTGAAGAACTATGACTAAGCTGCATCAATCGGCATCCTTCCCCAGGATTTTTAAAATCTTCTTTCACCTCTGATGGTAAATCTTCAAGGATGTGGTAGAGCCCTGAGCAAACGCTCTAGGTAGGATCGTTCAGTTTGAAAACAATGAAACCCACATGGAGGGATGCAGAGGCCAGAGGTGGAGACTGAGATTCCTGGCAGACAGAGAGCATCGGAGCCCTGTTCCATGGGTTTCTGAGGTCAGCTGTAATCCCTTTCTTTCTGTAATTGGGTTGTGTGGGCAGCAAACCTTCTGGCTTAAGCTGGTTTGAAATGAGATTCTGTCACTTTCAAGCAAGTTTTTGTATTGGCAGGAAGTCAACATTGGTTCCGGTTCTGTTTTTTTTCTGCACGAGTCTCTTGAAACCTCTTGGTAGGAGGATCTTAAGTCTTTGCAGGTCATGAGGAGTGAGTGATGACTACACTTGTCCTGATATCCCATGCAGATAGACGATACAGGCACAAAGAAACATTGTTTTCATGCCTAAGCAAATCTCCGGATAAATTTATACTTCAACCTTACCTCCTTGTGATGCACTTTTCCATTTTCAATTTCTCTGCCTAACCAAGTCATGTTCATATTGTATGACCCCCCCACTACTGTCACAGCTGATTGGAGCAAGGCTCAACCTCTTACCCAGAGAGGTACGTACAAGCTGGCCAGTGGCCAATCACTTACGAGGTCTGGCTCAGAAAGATGGGCTGGGTGAGTCAGATTCCATTCTTAGGAATTTATATATAGACAATTTTGAACCTGAGACATAGGGCTAGATGGTAAATGAAACTTCATGATGTTGAGTTGGGGGCACAGCAATTCAAAATACGGTATGTAACACACAAGAAAGAAGAGCAGAGGAAGAAGATGCCAGTTGGTAGAGAGAGAAGCATTTAGCAGATGTGCAGGGAGAAGCAGGTGCCATGCAGTTGAGTGAGTTCCAGCCCTATTCTCATGAGGTGCAATGATGCCGAGCTTCCTGCCAAGTAAAATAAAGCTTTCTTTAACTGAGTTATTCTGAGATTACCCTCCGTCCCTTACAACCAAACAAGGCCACCTGGAACATGTTCACTGTGATTGGAAAGTGCTTATCACGGGAAGAGCCCCAGACTGCAACACTTTAACTGGAAACAGAACAGGAAATGCTTTTTAGATGGCAAAGCTTCTTAGTAAGAAACATCGACTTGCAAAATGTAAATTCCAATTCATCTGTTAACATTTACAGAGAACAAACAACACTCAGAGACCTTATTTCTTAATTAAATGAATTTATCCCTCTGTGAATACAGAACTGGTATTTTAGATAAATATAATATCTATGTATGTTATTATATAGTCCGTAAATTTCATTTTTGTGGGAGGAGGAAACTTGGGGAGGCAATGGGTATGAGTACAACCTTGATAGTGGTGATAGCTTCCAAGGTGTATACTTACCTAAAACCCATCAAATTTTATGCAGTAAATATGTATGGCTTTTTGTATGTCATAAAGTGGTTAAACAATCTCAGTTTTGCTATTGTACATTTTTAAAAGGAAAAAAAGAACAGAAATAACCCCATTTTATTTGTTTATTTGTTTAAGATCTCCTTTTTTAAAAAGTAAGCTGTACGCCCAACGTGGGGCTTGAACTAATGATTCTGTGATCAAGACTTGCATGCTCTACCGACTATCAAGTGCTCCAATATTCCCATTTTTAAATGACAATAAAATTTAGAGGACAACAGAGATTGATACCCAACTATAACCAGATCTTTTAAAAGAAGAAAAACCAATGTGGCAAAAAAAGCAAAAATTGTCCTAGTCTTAGAGGAAAGTGAAAAGAATGTTGAAACATACTGAGAAAGTCATGCAAACCCTATAACAGCTTGTGCTGTCATTTTTTCCTTAAATGAAGAATGCCAGTTACAATGTCAGCCCAGAGACACACTCTGGGACTAATCAGAAATCAGCATTAATCTGCACAGCTTGGGAATGGCCTTCTCAACAGTTGCTCAGTATGTGAATGTCCATTTGTGCAAGACGAATGAGTGCAGGGGCCATAATAAGGCCATGGCATTTGGTTATGATGATGGCCTCTGACGACCTGAGCAATCAATAAATTATAATTGAATTCAACTGACGGCAGGCAGCGTGTGACACAATTCATTCCTGCCATCTCATTCTAAATTCAAGCCTAGAACTGTGAATGCAGGAGCTGGAAAGCAGGAGTGAGGAATACCCTCCCCCCCTTCAGCTTCTCTTGTGGTTTCTAATCTGGAGGTCTTAAGGATCAGAGGTTTACAAAATGGCCACTAGATACTAATCTTCCCAGTAGACAGGTTTTCCTAGATTTTAGTAAGGGTCAAGATTGGTAGTCAGCAAAAATTGTCCATGCATTCATTGACTTCTTCTATAAACATTTTCTTGTTACTGAACTGTGAATGGGGAGTTGCTACGCAGAGACTCATAGTCTCACGAAGGAGCGATCACATACAGATAATCTAGGACAACGGGCAGTAGCATTAGAAGTATGCTCACAGGGAATTTTCTACGTCAGTTCCTAAGAGGGAATTTTCTACGTCAATTCCTAAGAGGGATTGTCAAAAACAACCTAAATGGGTCAAGGAAGGCTTCCCAAATTTGACAGGTAGTACCTAAGCCAAGTCTTAAGAGTGAGCCGGCATTAGCCAGGCAAAGGGGGTGTGAGACATTCCAGGTTCAGGTACTAAATGAGTCAAGTGACAGAGGTAAGAGGTGGCATGTGCACACAAGACAAAGTCATACCACCTTTCAAAAGGCACGAAGAGTGCTGGCTTGAAGTTAACGTCCGGGGTCAATTACCATTTTAAAAACTGAGCACCTAATATGTACTTGTGAATTGCTAGGGTTTCAAAATCGGATGAGGCGTGAAGCTCACCCTCCATGATTCAGCAAGCTTATAAGTATAATTCTGTAGCAAAATAAATTAACATAAAATATAAAAGGCACCATCACAGAGATATGAAGAAGGGTCTGTGGAAGCCCCAAAGAAGAGGTGAAAACTAAGATTGGTACCGGTTGTTTAAGGAGAATTTGAACTGGGTCTTGGCAAGTGAAGAATTTCTCAGAAGAAGTCCTGAATTCCAGGCACAGTGAACCTGAAAGACTCATTTTCTTGAAGGAGATAAAAAAGTGTGGAGCAGTGGATTCTTCAGGGGAGGCTTAGGGATCTTAGTAGAACCACAAACTGACCCTTCAAAGACAACAAGGGAATTTGTATTGAAGTTATGTTTCCATAACACTACTTGTATGTGGATTTTATTTTGTGTGGCTTTCATAAAGGTGCAAATGGAGATTATGGGGGCAGTAAAATCTGCTCTATTCCCTCTCCATGACTTGGCTCACCACAGAACTAGAGTACTCTAGAGTTCTGGAAGCATCCTCCCCCAAGATAGATAATTAGGGTACATGCCACTAAGGATCCTGGTCCCACATCCCCTCATCTGGTTTCACCACTGTTCCTGCTTCACCTTCCACGAAAAAGGTCTTGATAATAAATCCCTACTTAGATAGTAAGGTAAGAGCAGTAAGAACTAAATCCTAAATCCAACAATTTTCTTTTTCATAGGACCCCAGGAAGTCAAGATGTTGTCATCACTCATGGAATGCCAGTGCAGGGCATGCTGGGACATCTAAGGGTTTGTCTGGGCAACTTGCAACAAAGAGAGGAAATACGTGTATTTGTGGGCCAGCCAGGAAACCTGATAGGACTGGGACTTGTCCAGTGTCTGAAAATTTTGATGAGCTCAAATATGACCCAGGAAATTCCTATTTGTGAGAAGAATCCTGTGCAGTGGGTGATATAAGGCACAGAAAAGAGGCAGATAGCCAGATTGTGGTTCCAGGTATTCCTCCTACTTACAAGGCAGCAGTTTGTGAAAGAGGTGATGGGCTGCGGCAACTAGTCCTCAAGGAGAGGAAGGGGTTATGGAGAGCCACAGCAACATGGGGACCTTGTATGCTTCTTCCTAAATTGTGGGACACGGTGCTAGTCTAAGTAGAGATCAAGAGTGCTTGTTAGAGAGGGGCGCCTGGGTGGCACAGTCGGTTGAGCGTCCGACTTCAGCCAGGTCACGATCTCGCGGTCCGTGAGTTTGAGCCCCGCGTCAGGCTCTGGGCTGATGGCTCAGAGCCTGGAGCCTGTTTCCGATTCTGTGTCTCCCTCTCTCTCTGCCCCTCCCCCGTTCATGCTCTGTCTTTCTCTGTCCCCAAAATAAATAAACGTTGAAAAAAAAATTAAAAAAAAAAAAAAAGTGTGCTTGTTAGAGAAACTGAGGCACAAGCCACATCCTGAGACATAGACTGGCATAGGGCAAGGAGAGAAGAGAAATTGGGATGATACATATTAGTGGCTTCAGGTATGCCCAGAGCCTGCCCATGCAAAACAGATCTCAGAGTTGACAGACTTCATGAACTTGTGGGCTGGAAGCGCTAACAGGATTTCTGTTCTGATTAGGACTATCTTTAGGGATAAGTGGGCCTGAGTCTGGGCATGCCCTGCTGGGAGTGGGCCTATCCTGGAAGGGCTAGAGTCAGAGTAAAGGAGCAATGGTCTCAGACTACTAGCGAGGTACAACTATACAAGAACAGCAGCAAGCAGGCCTGTCTCGGGAACAACCACTGCCTGGTAAACGGACCCTCTGAGGCACCAGGCAGGAATGTCTGGGGACACGGCACAGGAACACACAAGAAGGAAAAGTGCTAGCGTTGAACTACCATACCCCACACAGATTCCTTAATTCTTCCTTCTTAGTGATTCAGAGTGGATTTCCCAGCCTATAGATTAGTCACAGCCATTGTTTCTTCCTCTTTTGCTGCTTTTTGCTCAGCCTCTGGGTACCATTGCTTATCCAAATCACAAACGAAGGGAAAGAAGAGGTGAAATACTCTGAAATAGTTTGCATTTGCTATAAAGGTTGGAACAAAGAAGGGATGCTAACCCATATCTGAAATGGCTTTTTTCCGGCACTGAGCACACAAGCAGAATCACCCCACGAATGGCCCAAGGGTTCATGACTTATGAACGGTCATCGGCACTAGCATATCGGGCCAATCAGTGGGGACACGTGTGAGCAACTGGTGGGACTGAAATGCGCTGAAGTGTTTGGTGTTGCCTGTGTTTGTGCAGCACATCACCCCAAAACTCAGTGGCTTCAAACAACAGTAACTATTTATTATCTTCCGGTTTCTATCTGTCAGGAACTCAGGAGCAGCTTGGCTTGGGAATTCTGGCTCAGGGTCCCTTTTAAAGTTGCAGTCAGAGGTCAGCTAGGACCGCAGTCACCTGAAGCCTTGATGATGGCTGGACGATCTACTTCCTCCAGGGTGGTCTACCTTCATGGCTGACAAGTTGGTGCTGGCTGTTAGCAAGAAACCTTACTTCCTTCCCTCATGGCCCTCTCCACAGAGTTCTTACAATATGGCGACTGACCTCTCCCAGAATGAGCAATCCAAAAGACCGAGGTGGAAGACACAATGTCTTTTACAACTAGACTTGTCAGTCACATGCCATTACATCTATAGTAGTCTACTGGCCATACAGGCCAGCCTTGTGTAGCGTGGGAGGGGACTACACAAGGGCATGAATCATCTCCCCAAGGAGATGAGGATCATTGGAAGCTGGCTACCACAATTTCTGAGTGTCCCATAACCTGTTACCTCCTGACCATACCTCTGACGTTGCACGTTCCCTTCGCCTAGAATTTTCTGCTGCTCTTTCTTCATGTTCAAGGGCCAGCACTGTTTCCTTTCTCTAAAAAAGCATTGCCGACACTCGCAGACAGCCCTTCACACATACATCTATTTTAGAGCTTGTGTGTCTGTGGACCTGTTTGTCGGCTGATGGCAGATTAAGTACACTTGGGACTGGCATAGACCTGGCACTCAGTAATGCTGGATGAATGGATGAAGGAATGACATCACATCACATCAAAGGGCATCTGTGGTCTATAATTCTCAGTTGCCTCCTGACACCTCAGGATAGCCCTTGGTTGTCATTACAAACCAAATTCTCCCACATGAATAGTTGAGGGGAGTAGGAAGCACATGGCATGACTTGGCTCCTTGCAGACTTTGCTACTTACAAGTTTCTTAATTATAACATTCCAAGAGAGGCATGTGATCATAAAATTCAAAAGCTACCCAAATATTAGCTATTCTTAGATATGTCCTTGTCTCACCAAATGTTGTCAAGTAAGCCAGATAAGTAAGAGAAATTGTAAAGCAAGAGAACATCAACGAAATAAAGGAGTGGGGGTGGGGGCATGGCCACGAGACAAAAGCACTCAAATGAAGTAGGGGTACCAAAGGTGGGGTACCAAAATTACCAAATTTGAAACAAATTATTTTCAACTTGGTTATTGTTCTTCAAACTATGCTTTATTCAATTAATTCATCAGGGGATCATAATGAATCTGCAACTTAAGAATTGCTTTTTAGATTTTTTTTTTCCCCCTCACAGTGTATGGTAATTTGGGTAGAACCTTGACAACAGTTTCCTGTTTAAACTCTCTAAGTGAAAAGGCCTTACTCAGCAAACAGTTGACAAAAATAAGTTTCAAGGTAATGAGACATGCTTGGGGGAAAACAAAGCAGAGAATTGACTTCTGCTGGGCCCAGCACCTGAGGACAAAGCAGCACTCAGTGATACTCGAACCAGAGTGCTCCACCTAGGTGCCATCGAACCCTGTGCTGAGATTCCTGCTCTTGGGGGACTCTGGCTTTCCTAACCTGACAATGCCTGTGGAGTCATGACACAGAAAATCCCTTTAATGCAGGAGCGGCCACACTGAACTCCTTGGGCAAACTTCTTAGTGTCGTGGAGCCTCAATTTCCCTATCTGTAAAATGTAGATAATGCTATCTACTCCATAGGGTTGGCTACAGTAAACACTATCGATTTATTAACTATACCTAAAAAGGCAGCTCATTCAGTCGAGCATCCGATTTCGGCTCAGATCATGATCTCACGGTTTGTGAATTTGAGCCCCATGTCAGGCTCTGCGCTGACAGCGTGGAGCCTGCTTGGGATTCTCTTTCTCTCCTTCTCTCTCTGCCCCTCACTCTGCTCATGTTCTCTCTCTAAACAAACAAACATTTATAAATAAACAAACTTAAAAAGACATACCCTTAACACTCCATGCCTTCCCTTTCTCTTCCTAGCTCACCATTCCCTCTCTCCTAACTCTGCTCTCCTACCTCGACTTCCTTACACTTGGATAGCATTTTCTAGTAATTATTTCCTTTAGGGAGCTTTTCCTGGTTCCCCCCCTTTTCATGAACAAGTTTGCTGTGCTACGATAAGATTCTTAGCACTGGGTGCTATATATGAACATTCATGGTATAGGACTGTAGTTGCCCGTTCACTTAGCTGTATTTACCCATTAAAATATAGAGTCCAGAGGGCACAAATTACACCAAACTTGCCCATCATTGTATTTCCAACAGTGAACCTAGAACATGATGTATTTTAGGAACCCAATGAATGTGAAAAGAGGAAAAAACAAACGCAAGAAGGAAGGGGGGGGGAGGAATGGGGGAAGGAAGGAAGGAACACAAAGAGTTGATTCCAAGCCCTGTTTTCTAGAGACAGCAGTCCTTGGGAACTGTACCTCACACCAACATACCTGCGCTACCCAGATATTGTAGAAACAAAGGTATTAAGCCAAAGGAGAAAGCAACAGAAATCGTCAGCTGGAGATTTATCATGCCCTTAGGATGTACAGTCCTAACTAACAGAAGTAAACACCTCATGGAAGGAAAGAAAGAGTCATCATCACCAGAGTGAAAATCACATACCTACACAGTCCCAGCATGACTCTTGGATCTCTTGTACGGCTTCCTCTTCAGGTTTGTAGAGGGGACCTTGGAGTGTCTGGAAGCAGAATCAAAACAGACAATAAAAATCAATTGCTAATCTGGAAAATGTTATTAGTCTTCCATATGTAGTAGGAATGACAGCTCATAAACTCAGGTGTCCAAAAAAAAAAAAAAAAAAATACTGCATCTCCTTATTTTATAGAAGCCAGCCCAATTTTATTCTAGCACTTCCCTCATACCAGGCCTCTTGGTACTCTTGACCTGAGTAACAAGGTCTTGGTGCTAGGCACATTTGAGTTACACTGGAGACACCAATTATCCCTGTCTGCTTAGACCATTTCTTCCTTTTGTTTATTTAAAAATTAAAAAAAAATTTATGTTTATGTATTTATTTTGAGAGTGGGAGGGAGGCAGAACACAAGTCAGGGAGGGGCAGAGAGAGAGAGAGAGAGAAAGAGAGAATCCCAAGCAGGCTCCACACTGTCAGCTCTGAGCCCCAAGCAGGCTCAATCTCACAACCACGAGATCATGACTTGAGCCAAAACAAACAGTCAGACACTCAACTGACTGAGCCATCCAGGCGCCCCTGCTTGGACCCTTTCATAGCACCACTTGTGGCTTTATCTGCCAGGACACTGCACATAGTGTTCCTTTCTGGGGTCTTGGCCCCTTGTCAGGATATTTTGGGAAGCCAGGCTGATCGCCACTGTTCCAGGATGCCTGTACTCCACCTTTCTCTTCTCACAGCCAGGTCTTTGTGGACTGTGGGAGGGCACGCGTGAGCCCCTCTCTGCCTTCTACTTCTGCAGATCACTCTGCCTTTGCCACTAAATACCCTTGACCTCTTTATTTTTCCACAAAGCCCTAGACTCTTCATAAGTGCTTGTGAAGTAAAAGCCAGTGGGGCGCCTGGGTGGCTCAGTTGGTTAAGCATCCGACTCTCTCTCTCTCTCTCTCTCTGCCCCTCCATGAATCACCCTGTCTCTGTCTCTCTCAAAATAAATAAATGAACTTAAAAAAAGAAAGAAAAAGCCAGGTACTCTGGCCAGTGACTCCTGCTTTCTGCTCTGCCAGGTCCCTTAACTGTGCCAATGGAGGACAGAGCAAACGGCTTGCACTAAGAAAAAGGGCAATCACACAGTGAAGACAAAACCAATAAAACAAATGAATGCATGGAAATATTGTCCGTTCATGCAAAGTCCCCAAAGCATGAGGTTAATGTGGGTCTTGACACCCTGTGGAGATAGAGCACGGGGAGAATCATGATTTCCAAAGACACCGCACATCATCTTCATCAGCTGCCTTTAGCCCACCTTTATATTCTAGGGCTAGACCCAACGAGGGGGCCAAGTAGGGTACCCACAACGGCTAAATTAACTCAGTGCCTCACATGCCTTTTTCCAGCAGGCAGCTGCCTTTCGGGAGCACCTTGCTGGGAAAATCTACTTCTTTATGCCAGCTGACCCCATGTGTTTAGGAGGGAGCAAAACTTTCAGCAGCATTGCATAGAAGATGCCGAGTGTTACCAACTTGAGAAATATAGTTATCGATCTCTGTCCTTTACCCAGAGCTGACTGAGGGATGTGTTTTCTTTTCACATCAATGTGCTAGACTGCTCTTGGTGTGAAAAGACAGCAGATGCTGATTCTATTGCCATCTGAGTGTGTGAATAGGCCTGCGGAGCCCAGGAGTGCTTTCTGGAAGGGGTAAGTGTGTGAACACGTGTGTACGTGCACCCCCCCACACACCCACACACATACAGACACAACCACTCACAGAATCACGCACACACTGTCACACACACATATATGCACACACGGTCACACACAGGCACAGACATAGACACCAGCACATGCAGTTTCACAGGGTTGGTGCAGGTCGAGGCCAGGATCAACCTTACCAAGTCTTGTTAAAATACTTAAAAGTGTATTTTTCTGGCTTCCCTCTCTATAAAATGGTTCCTACTTTTCAGGACCGTTTTCTTGTTTGCCTTATGTTGTTGGCTTTCTGAAGAAGGTAGCCCCAATAAAAAGCAATCTATTGCATCTTCATTATGGTTGATCACATCCATATGCTTCATTGTATGGTTTCTTAGTACATGCTTGCGTCTTTTATCCCCAGCATCAGCCCAGACCTGGCCACAGTAGGTGCCTGAAACCAGAGGTGCTTTATCAACGTCGTGATTTGCATTTAGAACTTCTGTCTTGGAGACCTCTAGTATTAGCCTAGAATTACGTCTGGTCTCATGTAGTAAAACTTTGTTTGGTTAATGTCTGCTAGGAGCTGGATCCTTTGCCTCAATGTCTTCTCCTCACCAGGAAGTCATGAAATTGAAAATGTTTTCTTTAGGGAAGCTAAAAGACTTGCCCTGATCACCTGGCCAGCCAGCAACAGAGCTGGGATTCAAACACGCATCTTCCTGACTCAGAGACTAGGTATTGCACCGGGTCTCCCCACGTGACCCCATGTGTTCATGGACTTGAGAGCTGGAAAGTACCTAAAGGACATCCAACCTCTTCAACTTTTAGATAAGGAAGCCAAGGGCCAAAAACATTAATTGATTTACTCACTGGAGTCCCACGGAGCATTACTGGGGAAGCCTGGGTCATGCTCTCGTACTTATAACAAATAGTTCTCTCTCTCCTGTAGGGGGCAAGGAGCTCCACCAGACACCACGGTGCATACAACATGTGGAAGGGGGGTTCTGCTCTTGGGCAGTCATTAAAGAGTTAACAGAAAAAGAAAGAATCAACAGCAATAAAGCACTGTCCCTGAATAAAGTGCCCTGCCAGGAATGGGAGGGAGGAGGGAGATGGCACAGAACGGCTTCTCATCGTAAGTTCATTTCAAGCTCAGTCTGATAAGCAGAAGAAATGAGCTGGTCACCAAGGACTTTGTCTCGGTCACATTCAGGAATCTGCTCCCTCTTGTCAAGGCACAGGCTCAGTGGGCTCTCCTTTGCCATCAAGTCGCCGTTGGAAGAGCCCTGTTGTCCAGGGTTTACAGTCGGGTAAGAAATTCTTAAAGCCTGCCCGAAACTGGCTGAAACATCCACTGATGAAGGGAGAAGTTTGTTAGGAGTCCATGCCAGGCAGCGACTGTCGAAACGCTTCCTTGAAAGGAGGTGGTTCCATTTGGTCACATTTAATTCTGGAAATAGCTCAAGGAAGAGGTTTACACAACAGGAATTTTCCTGTGGATTAAGTTGAATTGTTATAAATAGCAGCGTACCTGACATCTTGATTTAAAGCACAAATAAATTTCTGGCAAACATTCGTCTTGATCACGTGATTCACCATTTACTCACCAACGTGGGGCCTATTTCTATGGGTGGCCATATTCCAGACAGGAGGAGTCAGGTTACCATCCTACCTGAAATAAGACTTCTCCTCACCCTCTAACTAAATGTCCAGACCCCTTGGAAAGGACCCAGATCCGTGTTTGAATTTCCACCACCCCCTAGAGCCCTCCCCAGCATCTCTCCTACCTCTCTGCACTCCTACGCTGACAGGTGTTCTGCACAAAAATATCAAAATAGAGCCAGGAAGGAGGCGTTGGTCATAGCTTTAAAAATACTGCTTTGTTTATTTCAATAAATAATGTGCGGTGTATACCTGATCAGCTTTTTCTATTTTTAAGATAACTTCTGTAACTTTAGAGCAATTCTTCATGTTGCTGAAGAGAAGAGAAATCTGAAAGAATTTTAGATATTGATTTTTACAGACAAAGGAAAAATCCTGAATTGTTCTGTTCAGCACTTGGTGTTACCAAGTGCATGCTACCCAATGATCCTGCTCTACACCGAACACCACACAAGAATACCTGAGCCAGAGACGGGCTAGATGTCACCAGCCCCATTCTCCTTTTTTTCCGGGCATGTAAAAGAAGCATATTTCCCAGTCTCTTTTGCAGTTAAAATATGCCCACGTGACTGGGTCTCAACAGCGGAACGCCGGAGGAAGCAACGTATGTGACTTGCAGATGAGGTCATGAGGCCCCTTCGCGTGGTCCTCTTTTCTCCTTCTTTTTCTTTTACTGCAACTCTGGATAGGCTGAAGGAGCCTGAATCCCCACGTTACCATAAATAACTTCACAAGCCTCCAAAGTGAGTGCCATGCATAAGAGAAGGCTTTACTATGTCATGCGACTTAAGAGTTTCTGTTACTGCAGCAGAGCCTAGTGTGCTAATTAGTACTTTGTCTTCTCTTGCCCCACCACACGTGACACAGCAATGCTGGACTGTGGCTGCCACCGGGGATGGGATGGGTGTGGCCAGATCCCCTCCCTCAGGACTCACTTCCCTAGCTTTCAGGAACGGTACATATTCACTTGGAATGATTCTTTCTGTCTTGAAAGATCTGGAAAGGATGAGAGGTATTTTATCTTGTTCACTATATTGCCGTTACTTTCACTTATCTCGGGTCCACTTAGCAGAACTCAAAGTCTCAGTTTCTGGAGGGCAACCTTTCTTCCTACTATTGAAGAAAAGCTATGGGTGCCTGAGTAGCTCAGTCAGTTAAACATTTGACTCTTGATTGCGGCTCAGGTCATGATCTCCTGGTCAAGAGATGGAGCCCCACATCGGGTTCCACGCTTTAGCGTGGAAACTGCTTGGGATTCTCTCTCTCTTCCTCTTTTTCTGCATGCTCTCCTCTCTCTAAATAAGTAAATAAATGAGCATTTAAAAAAAAATAAAAGCTAAATGCACTGAAGTTATGCTATGGAGAAAGGGAGAGACGGAGTGCCCTTGAAAGATTCCCAGTGCGTGGAAGAGAATGGAAACAGTGATTTTCCCCAAAACTGGAGGCTGGGATTCCATCCCTGGCAGCAGATGGGGAGACGGCTGCCACGGTAGCTGAGGGGGACTAATGTCCAGCACGTGTTCTCTTGGAGTTGAGGAGAATGCACGGCAATAGAGTTGATATTTTATGTCCTCTTAGTCTAGAATTTTAGAAGTTGCCAAGTGAGATTTCATTTATTTTTAAGGCAATAGTGTAATATTTCTTATATAAGAGAGCTTGTGGTTGAGGATTTACCCTTAATACATTCATACGTAAATCAAACTAGAGTGAACTTCTCTGAGGGTGAGAATATTTCTTTAACTGTGTGACTCTCTCTCTTTGTATCCTAGCTAGAGGTTTCTGAAATGAGCAACGCTTTCTCAAAGGCTTGACAGCCCTCCTCCACTCCTTTTGTTCTCCTAGAAAAAAAAAACATTGTTGAATATAAAATGCCGTTCCCCGCATCTGGCATATTGTACTGACCTTGGGAACACACATCTGAATATCTTACTTGGAGGTTTATTTACAGCCTGCCTTATAATTCAAGATAGATAATTCTTTACCCCCTTGCAGCTTGATGAGATGTATGAGATTTAGGCGTTTGGGTGGGTAACAATTGGTTTTGGATGAAGGAGACAAATAGATGTGCAGCACGTTCACAAGAGCCACCTGTCTTGGGAGCCCCCATGTCATCCGGTACTATCACCAGCTGGTGATATGGTGCCTACACACGTCATCAACACTTGAGAAAATGACAGCCCTAGCCGCTTATGGGACATGAGTACCTAGGATGGAGAATGAGTTAGCCCGAGTTGCGGATAATTCTGCATGATGGAAAGCCTAGCGTATTGCAATGTGGGGAGTTTGCCCCTTTAAGCTCTACAGAGCAGCCCATAAATTCACCCCTGTGATGCCATGATAACCAAAGGTGTCATGAGGTGAATAAAATGGGACCTCCCAAGGTTCTGTGAGGAAGACGAGCTTTGGCCTTCCCCATGTGGACTTCTCTGGCTCTGTTCCTTCTCCATCTTTCTCGGCCTGCTCTGCAAGATATTGAGCTCTGACGGCTACCTCATAGGCCTCCATGTCCTCTGGCTTCTGATTGGGAAGAGACTTCTCACAGGAGGAGACACCAGCAGGGAATTGGGAGGAGACAGGGCTGGGCGGTTTATGCTCTCTGCTCCTTCCCGGGTCACAGGTTGGCAGTGAGTACATTCCTCCACAGAAGGTGACAGCTCCTGTTGGTGACCCCTCCCTTCACCGTCACAACTCCTTCTGGGTTTTGACGACCTTTCCATTCCCTTGCCTAGTTACTTCTAAGAATAGTCATGGCTCCCAAATGTTAATGGGGCTTCCCTAACCCCACTCACAATTGTATACAGGGTCTCTTCATTAAACTCTCAATTTACCCCCATTTTAGTGTACCAACACAATATGATATATTATCCTTAGACCCCCCCACAGGACTGTGTGCCTGCAAAGGTAGGTGGCGATGAAAAGGGAGATCTAGTAACTATAACAACCTTCCTTAGAAAATCCTGACTTTATATCATATCATGTCATATCCTATCACATTATAATATTAAATTATATTACATTAGCGAACCTCAACCTTCCAACAGAATTTGTCTGCTTTTATTTCCGAGGGTGTATATGTGCTTCAAAACTAATTTTTTAAGAGCATTGAACCACAGGTGAGTGTTTCTTCAAAGATTAACGCATTCTTCTGGGTTTCAACAACGTTCCAGGCTGTTCTCTGCCCCAATTCAGCCAACCCTGTTACTCACCATGCGTTTCAGGCCTCCATGCAGTTTCTTCCTCGAACATCTCTTCCATCTGAGATCTCCACCTCCCCTCTGAATTCATCTGTTCAGCGAATTTGAATGTCTGCTAAATTGTGTGTCTTCAAAATGCTAGATCCCTCAAAAAAAAAAAAAAAAAAAAAAAGATGCACCAGAGCCTTTTCTAAAAAACCCACTCTCCTCTCTTTTAGGCTCCAGAACCTCTGCACTTTGTTCCGCTCGGATCACCTTCTACTCTGTACTCCGACTGTTGTTCTCATGCCTGTCTTTGCCATTATATTATGAGCCTCCTGAGGATGGCAAACCCATTTTGACCTTCCCCGTCTCTGTAAGCACCACATACATACATATCAAGCACATAATATGTTCTTAATGTCTGAGGAATCAAAATGAATCACCGGGATAGCTTACCCCCATCTGGCAAATGCCCCGAGAAACCGATATGATACGGAAGGATGGTTTGACAGGCTGGAATCTTTGTCAGATGTTCCAGACTTGAGAACCCAGGGGTTCTGGCCAATTTGAGCAATGTATACAGTGGTAGTATAAACCCCATAAAGAGAGCATTTCAGAGAGAGCTAGAACAGAGAGCTTGCCCAATCTGAGATGTCCCAATCGCAAAATACACTCTGTTCCCTCACCTCCTCTGCCCTGCTCTTCCCCAGAGCTCTAAATAACCAGCCTGGACAGCTTTTAGTAACTCTGGAAAATGTATGTAACTGCTGATAAAGTCTAGCCCAAACATCCCTCTCACACTGCGCTGACTCATTTGCCCAAAATATGCCTGACCAGTGAGGCAGAAATAATGATTCTTACTGGCTTTTAACTACCAGGCTCCCCAGCTCTATTTCCTTTAGTCCTAGGGGCACATTCTAATTTGGTACAGAAAATAAAATGAGAAGTACGCCTGCCGGTTCCCATCCTAGAATGACTGAAGAAAGAAAATGTGTGCAGTTGTGTTAAAGGTCCATGTGTTTGTATGAAAGTGTCATTCACAACCTCCGCTCCCGCTTCACACCCAACCATCACTCCCATCGCCATAGATCTGTCTTAACCTCATTTCATCTTGGAGTTCTGCCATTGTCCTATAGTCAAAGAAATGAGAGTAAACATCGCCGCAAGAAGGAGACGAAGAATAACATCTTCTTTACAGAAACTTTCAGAAATCCCTTTCTGCTTCGCTATGGGGGTTGCTTAGATCGACAATGGATTTGATTTATTTTATGTTAGAAATACTGCAAAAGGTGTCATCCAAGCAGTGTTCCCCTTCTATACTGGATCCGAGAAAGGTTACAGCCAGTGTTTGCACTCCATTTACAAGAGTGTAGGTCTCCATGAGACATAGTTTTGTTTAACCCTCATTTCTGGTTCCATTTATATTCGTGTCCCTCTGGCCCTTTTCTTTGTCTTCTGCTCTTAGCCTGTCTTGGTATATCTTCTGTATCTTTGCAGGATGTCAAAATACTTTGTGGAAAAAGAAAGGGCATACCAAAAGTTTAAAGATCACTCTGAACTCAAGGTAGATAAGTCAAATCATCTAAACTTAATGGCAATTACTCTCAAAGTGAGGGCCAAGATATAGGAACAAGTATTTTGCATCCTCGTACGCAGAGACCAGAGGAAGAAGGGAAGAATCAATCCACAGTCATCACACTCCCTCAATACACAAAATCATATCACCTCTGTTTTCTCTTACACATGACTGGTGTCCAGAAAGGACTGATATTCTTGACCCGCTGTTTGTAGAAATTAAGAAGGGGAACACAGGTGCGCATATTAGTTTGTGTATTAAGGGATACCTGTACAAGTATGTTGTAAGGGTTAGATGTTGGCACTGATTCGTGCATTTACATTAATTCTCAAATGAAAACGGGAATCCATTCAGTCTGTCTTTTTTTTTTTCAACATTTATTTTTTATTTTTGGGACAGAGAGAGACAGAGCATGAACGGGGGAGGGGCAGAGAGAGAGGGAGACACAGAATCGGAAACAGGCTCCAGGCTCTGAGCCATCAGCCCAGAGCCCGATGCGGGGCTCGAACTCACGGACCGCGAGATCGTGACCTGGATGAAGTCGGACGCTCAACCGACTGCGCCACCCAGGCGCCCCGAGTCTGTCTTGATACCTTGTCATTTAGAGCTAAGCTACGCTATGCACCCTGTTTTGTATCTTAACAGAATAATTTGGAAAATCTAAGATCATAGAATGCTAAAGCTGAAAAGACCTCTATAGTAATCTATTCCAAGCATAAACATGTGTATGCGTTTTTATGTTTTTTAAACGTAGTTGCAAAATTAGCTTATACTTGATATAAGTATGTCAAATTGAAAAAAAAAATGTCAAATTGCCCTAATGTATAAGAAGCAGAATGTAAGTCTTATCACTTCTACTCATACTTCCCAGAATAAGCACCACTAATAGGAGCTTTTATTCATTCATTCATTCATTCATTTATTCAAAAAATATGTATCAAGAACGGAATTACATATTAAGCAAGAAAATCAAGACAGGCAGAAAAAAAAATAAATAGATATAGAAAATAACTTCAGTTAGTCACAAGTGCTGCAAAGAAAAGCAAAGTACAGTGGTCTGAAGTACAGTCCATGTAGAGTGACAAGTTCAGTCTTTTCAGACAGAATGTGAATGCATGGCAAAGGGAACAGCAGATCTAAGTCCAGCAAGCAGGAGTGTGCTAGGTATGTTCTAGAACAGCCAAGTGGCCAATATAGCTAAGGCGTTCTGAGGAAGAGGAAGAATGTACAAGATGAGATTAGAAATGTCAATAGTAGACAGATTTTATAAGTCCTTCAGACACTGTAAGGAGACTCGTTTCTTTTCCAAGTGTCAGGAGAAACAATTGGCTGGTTTTAAATGGGAGAGTGCAACTTTAATAGCCAAAAAGTTTTTGTGTGGGGAAAGTGATCTAGGGGGATGCCCAAAGATTAATTTTCAAGGAGTCACCATCCAGAGGGAAGAATTACTCTATATGATGGTTTCTGTAGTATTTACGCTAATAGCTGCTTCCTGTTGCCTTAAATCCTACAAAACTATTAATAACAATAAAAAATCACAAGCTGGCCTAGCAGACTCAGAAAGATCTACGTGATGTCATGCCAATACCTGAGTTCACAGAGTGGCCAAATGAGGCTCAGGGACAATGGTCAGCTGACAATACGCTCAGCAGACTCACCTGTCTGCACCTGTTCTTTATGCAATAACTAATATCTATGTATGTTCTTTATAGCAATTTTATTTTCAAATAGTTTGAGTCATAAGAAGTATCAAAAACAGTACAAAGAATTTTCACATACCCTTCACTCAGCTTCTTCCAATGATAATATCTTACATCACCATAGGCCATGTCAAAACCAGGACTTTGGCATTGATCTAATGCTATTAGGTACAGACCTTATTTGGATGCCACGAGTTTTTACAGGCTCTCTTCTTACATTATTTACTTTGAGAGAATTTATAGTGCTATGAAATTTTATCCCATGTGTAGATCCTAGTAACCATCACCACAATCAGGATACAGACGGACTTATCGCCACAGAGAGACGGCCCCATGTTAGTAGTTCATTGTATCCATTGTTGAAAGCCAGCTTGTGCTTTATGAATACTCAAAACCTGGACAGGAAGAATTCTTCTATTTGTGCTTCTTTAACCTTTAGCTTATTATATTCCATAAATCTACTTAATACCATGTTCTAGACCTTTAAACATCACAATATATAAATATTTACACGTCACAAATTATCTTAAATATTTAAACATTGATTTAAAGTGTAAGTAACAAAGTGATCCAAAACATTTCAATGGAATCGGTCTAATTTGTCAACTTTTTAATTGATTCAATCACCTTGGACTTCAAATATTTAGAAGTTTATTTTTATAGGTTTATTTACCCTAATACAAAAGCAATGATACTGTGATTGTGATTCACTTTTTTACTTTTTTCTATATTTATATTATACCTCCCCAAGGTTATAGTGATTCTGCCAGACTCAAAAGAAAACACCATCTCCACAAATCTGGTAGGATGATGAGTTCTGGAGTATTAAATAACTAACTGATTCTTGGTCATAACATGAGATCTGGTCGTGTCTAGGATCTTTCAAACTAGAAGGGTGTTCATAAGAACCCCCCCTTCTTTTTTTTTTATGACAAATGCTCCCTTGCAAATGGAACTTTTCAAGTTCATACCTTTAAACAAAACAAATCACACCTTCCTCCAAAAACAAAGAGGAATGTTTCACTTTATTGCACCCTGGCCTACATGGCAAAACCCATTGTCTTCTGAAATTTACTCACAATTTTGATATAGTCCGTTAGCATTTTTGAAAATCTGGGTATAACTTTATTCGAATATTATTATTATTAAAAGCCTTATCCATGGTTTTGTGATTCAAGAGATGAGAACCTAGTCTGTGCAATCTACTTTCCCCTTGGGTCCATCAACTTGATGCATTCTTTGGAACTCTCTTTCCACCTGAGCTCTGGGTTCCCATCCTTCCTATCTTTAGTAAAATCCTTTCTTCTCCCAGAAATAACTTGTTTGCTCATAATTCCCAAAATGTACCTGTTCCTGCCTACACCGAGAAAAATTCAATATATACTTCATCTAAATAACTTACCCACCTGTATCAACTATCCCATATACATTACAATGAACACAAATAAGCATATACTGTTATAAGCACTATTTTTATTTTACAGCTATCTTTTAATACATCTTATTAAATGGAATCTGCTTTCATTCAGGCTTTTTGATGATGAACCTGCCACACCTCGGCAAATATGTGCCCTATAAGCAACACTAGGGCATTTTCTCATAGCATATTTGTGTTCTGGCCAAAACAAGATGTTCTACTCCCAACTTGATTTTTTTTTTTTTTCCAAGCCCAAGACATGGAGTTAGGCACTCGCCAAGGATCTTTGTTTCCTTTAGTGACAAATAGCATTAAAGACCAAATCTTGTTTACTTAACAATGTACTATGGGTTCTGTATAACATCAGAGCATATAGATTTAAATCCTCTTCTTTTTAAATATGCTTACTTTCAGTAATTTATGATTATAATGAATTTTAAGATGTAGGAAAATGCCAATTAAACCTAAAAT